AGTAAAGGAGGCGTTCACCGGGAGAGGTGTATTTGAGGTCTGACGTTTCGGTTAGTCGTTTCTTCTACCCATCTTCAGAGACTGAGCAGTCGTGCACACAGCTTTCCTTTTATGGCGCACTTTGTTCAAAGCCTGGCCCATCAATGCCGCCTGTGTGGCTGCATCCGACCCGCATGTCACCGTGACCTGAATCCCGCCCATCTTCGTCGGCCGCGGTGATAATTGGCGGCCCCGATTGTCCCGCGCCGTGACTGTCCCCCGTCAAGAATGTCCGTAAAACCAGATAAGGGGGAGGTAAATTGATGTGGCGGTTGACAGAACAGTCGGTAGACATCCAGGCTTCTTGCACCTGCCTTGCCGTATGATCATCTCCTCCTTTACTTTTGATATGCCACCCGGGTATCGCATTCTCACCACTATTGATGTAATTACATTTATATTAGTAAATATTTATTTACAACTCCAACTATGTCTTCTTCTCAAGAATAGTCGCTTTTTTACTGCGTAAGACTTTGAGGAACGCAGATTGGGCGGATTTTGAGTTAAAGGGATTTTCTTGTGCTAACTCATGACATTTCATGCGTTAGCACACCTACTGTAGATATAAAGCATGTAAGTAAGATAATGGGTTACCTCGAAGACAGACAACAGCCGAGAGGGAGCGTCGTTTGCAGTGGCCTAACAAGCGACCATGACCGGTTTGGGGGTCATAAAGCCGACAGACCCATCGATTGCCGTCGCCGTCATTTGGTCGTCCGAGGAGCACGATGCTCGACTCCGGTTCAGACGAAACTTCCAAGAACTGACTACTGACAACGCCAGGTAACGCGTCCGAGATGGTCGCTGAGGGTTTTCGAGGGTTTGAGTTAAAGGGGCAAGGCATGCTGCCCGGATTTCCAATCCATGCGTTCACGCTGCTTAGAAAGCGCCTAATATGAAGAAATTATAAAAATACCAAAGACTACTTACATACATGGCAAGTTATCTGAGAATACGTCTCCACTGCCCACACTGCCCTCGCACCTTCATGCATCGCATGGGCCTTTTCGGCCACATGCGCATCCACGAGAGTGGAATTGACCGCCCTCCCGACTCACCCATCACGCCAAACCCCATCCCCACTTATTCACCCTTTGCGTCCGTCCCCGTTATCGCAACTGACACCGACACCACCGACTTCACCTGCCCACACTGTCCACGCACATTCACCTCTCGCATCGGCCTGGTCGGTCACTTGCGAATCCATCACACGGAGACTGGCGAACCAGTGCCTGGAGCACCAACCTACACTCACCGCACTCGCCTCCACTGCCCACACTGCCCTCGCACCTTCAGGCATCGCATGGGCCTATTCAGCCACATGCGCATCCACGACGACCTGAGGTAGAGAACCGCCGACTACATCACATCACAACACCCTCCCGCCCTGTCTCCACCACTACCACCACCCCACCAGACATCAACACTCACACACCTCATGCACTCAACTGCCACCTCCCACGCAAGTGGGAAGTGTGCACCTCGACTCGGTCTCCATGCGGCTTCGGCTGCACGGGTGACTGAGTCCGAGACTATCCCGACACGTCAAGCGTCGTGGATAGGAAGGTTGCTGATTGACGCCCGCTCTAGGTGCACGCTGTTCGTCGCGTTGTGTGTGTGTGTTGTGTGTAGTGGCGGACTGGTGGGCTGGGGATGGGCTGAAGCAGCACCTTCCACGGCACCCTCACGCAAGTGAGGGACACGCCGTTCAACCCCCGTTGTGTGAAATCCTGGTGTTTGTGTGTGTATGGGGGGCCAGGTCGTGCACGTGGCGCGCGCAGTCATGGTCAGTCGACCATGCCAGCCACCGCGCCCATTTCCCACCCCAGCATGCTGACCGGCTCGGACATCTGCTGGGGTGTGGGGATGGGAAGCGAGAGTGAGGTCGACGACCCAGCGCATTTTCCTCACCATAAACAATCTGACGCGCTTGAAGCTATCACGGTGCGCAAAAAGCCGTGGCTTGGAAGGTTGCCAACTGACGGGGTACCTTGGACCTCCTCCTCAACTGGAGGCGGTCTGAGAGTCAGGCTGCAATGGCTCCTTTTTAATGTGGCCTTTATGGCATTCCCACCATAGCGTGGGATCCGAGCAAGGCGTTGGCGGCAAGCTTAGGTGCGGCTCCGGCCGTGCCAGCCTCCAAATCTCTGTTGTGTTGGTTGAAATCCTGGTTATTGTTGTGTGGACCAGGGGGTGTGGTGGAACGCCAAGGTGAGGATCCGTCCGAGCCATCCACCTGCGGCCTCCCTCGTCATCGGTCTTCTTGACTCTGTCTTGACACCGGGCTCGGGTGAGGGAGGAGCAGAGAGTGTAGGTAGATGCAGCGCAAGTCTACCGGCACTATAAACCCCTGCGCAAGTCATCGTCCCTGCTCCCACCGCTGTTGCAATAGGGCACACGGTGGACATCATCGAAATCGATGGTCGAAATATCATGTGGCACGCGCGCAGCCAGAACAAGCCTATGTGCATTTATGTCGTCTAGGTCAAATAACTAAGCATTTGCGAATCACAAACTAACAATGGAATAAGACCAAATTACTTCTGTTTTTACATCATTGGCCTCATTTTTCTGCTAAATATCCTACATGGCAGAGTAGCATTTATACAAAGGAAACTCATCATAAAAGATCTGAATGTCTGTTCTCGCCATGTTCTCCGTAGCTGGAAAGGTCTCCTTGCTCCATAAGCAAAACTATATGTGTAAGGATGGTGTGTACAATCGAACACTTTGCGTTGGTTCTTATCGTAGGACCAGAAGCATTACAGCTCGAAAAATCAACCAATAGAAAAACGTACGGAATGAACAAGATGTTGCGGACCCTTATTATTATTACAAGTTCCAAGTAAATAAAGCAAGATTTTATTATGCAATGTTACAGCAGATGTTTCAAATGTAAACATTTGCGGAGGTTGCAATACAGTTGCGACATTGTTCGATGGCCTACATTTCAAACATTTGCTGTAAATTTATGTAATTAAATTTTGTTCTATTCATTTGCGACTTCTAACACCAAGTGGGAGCTGGTTACATCTGACCCACCCTGTCTATGTTTTATTCCACAAAACGAGCTGTCTAACTTCTCTTAGGTGGAATTACACTATTTGCTTTTACTAAAAGTGCTGATGAGATGCATTGTATGGTTAAACATAGAACAGCATCTCTGATGTAAGATGAACAGCCCTTTCATCATTTAAACATCATCTGATATGCGCACCGCATTCTTGACCTAAAATTTACTTTCTAGGGTACGAATCCATTCACAGAGGAATTAGCATGGGAGTCTTAATCAAAGCTGATTAAAAAGGATGTTTATCCCGGAAAAATATTCGCAATTGGTTGTTCGAATAACTCTTAGTTCAAGAACCTCTTTCGTATGACTTCTCACTTTCCATTGTGGTTTCGTCGACTTTTAGGTACTGTCATTTTCCCGTCCTCTAAAACCCGAAGACAGGGTTGTCCGTTCCCCGAAATCGAGCCAGATATTTGTGCAGCAACAGTCTTAAAAATGGACGATTCCAGTCCGCCAGTATTATGTTGTGGTCAACACACTTGCGGTGAACTTCTCATTGACTCTAGGTCAGGTTTATTCTCCAAGCCTCTCACACGTTCCGAAAGTGGTAGAACTGCACGGCACATAGACTATTTAAACACAGTATTTCTCTAACCTGCGCCTTTGAATGTGTTAGCGACGGAAAGCGTATCAGGGCGCATGGAGGCACAAGATCCGTTGCTTAATCGTCACATACATGTGCTGGTGACTTCGGTGGCCTACTGCACGTCCACGGTCAGTCCACCAGTAACGTAAACATTGATAGACACGCCCTCTTGACAACCGTCCACCCTATATTGGCTTTCATAGGTGGCACCCTGGACTATAACCTATTCCATAA